GTCGCTGTAAAAAACGTAAAACTCCTAAAGCTTACCGGAATTTCGATGGGTTTGATCGGTTTCGCCATTTTTAAATGCAACCGCCTCTCCCTGCTCGTCTCAATTTTATTCAATACACGCCAATCGGTAAGAATATCAAGTGCGTTTTTCGAATCATGATGAATCCCAGAAATCATTCCCCACCCAAATTTAATTACCATTGCGGAACTGAAGTATACAACCCATCCAAACAGAATCAAAATTCCCGGCAATTTCCGGTTCAGCCTGATTAACACGTAACTTTGCGAAGTCAAGATCACGTTGCATCCCATCACACCGAACAGATTGGTATTTCTAACTATCGGTAAGGCCACAATGTAACATACACTCTCAATAATTTAGAAGGAAAATTATTACCAGTTTTACTACCCTGACAAGGTAACAACCTCTGTCTCTCATTAGGTAATAAATTTGTCACCAAAATTGTCAACATTGGAGGTGACAAACAGTATATCCTATCCAGAAATAATTTATTTCCTTCGTGGAAATAATTTCGTCTCCAAAATCATTTCCTATAGGTGACAATTTGTCACCTTAAAGCCAAGCGCAAACTTTAGTCACTAAAGTTTAGTGGCAGTTAAGTTTTCTCTCACAAACGTTTCGCTCTCGCACCTGGCAGAATAACGAAAATTGTTCGAGTTTTTGCATCTTACCAGAAGAAAAATTACTTATTAGAGGTTAAAATTATGGATTACTCTACATTTCAGGTAAATAATTTTAATTCATAGTTCATATGATGCTTATGCTGTAATTTTATTGTTTTTTGTCCTATAAATATTTACACTAAAACAAGTTTTTTCTAGATCCGGATGCGCAAATTTTGTTCTAAGATGAATACGGCGCAGATTGAGATGACGATATTTTCCCAATTTTACTGGAACAACATTCGATCTCTAACGTTGCGTGCTCCACGGAACTGGAAGATGTTGTTATGGTAAGATAAAACTCCATTTAAAGTAATAGTAAATAAGTTTAATTTCTCTTTGAGTGTGATTTATACAGTTGACGCTTCATCACGTGACATTTTTTATTTTATTTGATTTACAGATAACAGGCAAATCTTCAGCAAAATAACAAACTCGAGAGCCAGCTAGTATGTACGAGAATCAATTTTCACTAACATGATAAGTAATATAAATATGTAGATATATATATATATGTAAGCATGCACAATTTAAGTTTTATATTTACGTGTAGGGATGTATGTAATATGTGGAGACGTGTGAAGAAATTTGATCTCTAACCAAATCGTATTTAAATAAATAAATACATATTTTAGAAACTATATTTGCTTCCCCCGGGTTCTAATCTATCTATTACCACAAGGAGATAAATATATGCGTAAGACGGATATAACTTATCACCCATATTATCACTACATGTAGGTAAATTATTTCCATTCAGAGACACAAGTTACCTCCATGTTGTATACATTCTGTCATCGGGAGTAACAAATTATATCCAAACAGGTGATAATACTGTTTACCTCCGTTCGGGAGACAAAACACATTTGTCAACCGGCGGAGGTATATTATCACCATACGGTAGAGTTGCATAGTACCTACACGAGGAGACGATTTTGGTGGCAATTTTGCTGAGAGTGTATCTGAAGATATTTATACCAACGGATTAATACTTTTACATCGGACCGTTTACTAATTCGCGTGAGAAAAAGTGAAATAATTGTGAGTATGGTTCTGACGCTGTGAAAAATAAAGATAAGTATGGAAACTCCAAAGGCCATCATTTGCGTCAGGTGATACCCGACAATTAGGTTGATTCCGTAGGAGGTTAAAAATTCCTAGAATTTGGCAAAACTTGTCATTCTTCCTGTGTTGAGGAGGGGATGAACAACGCTCCGAAAAATGTAAGAAGTAACATCAAATTCGTAATACATCACGATAAGGAGACCTAAAGGATTAAATACGTATAAAGCCTGTAAGTATGAGGACAGGAGGATGGATACGATTCGGATTTGGGAGCTTTTAAGCAGGTCAGAAGAAGAAAGTCCGGACTGAATTTCGAACTCTGAAAGTTTAGAAGAAATTTTGTTTTTAGACACACATAACTTATGAATCCAGTGAAATCGAATGAATGAATGATTTATTCCATAAAAGTTTTTTATGTATGGATGAATAATTTTGCTTTCACACAAATTTTTGGAATGAAAGAGTAGTTTTTAGTTTTCAAAGTTTTGAATGAATAAATAATTTCGATTTTTTAAATTTAGGATTAAATGAGTATAAAATACATGTTTTTTAACCTTAAAATGGATGAATTTTAAATGAATAAATAGTAATTTTCACGCAAGCATGGTGCGTATTAAGACCAGGAACAATGTAATCTTACTTACCATTTCTCGCGTGCCGATCAAACTCAATGGTTTGCTCCCATAGTTGCAGATACAAGTCGCCCTTATCCAGGATAACAATCAAGTGTCCGTAGAAAGACAAGGCGCCCATCACAATGAGGCAAATCCAGACCCAGAACCGCAGATCACCTAATAGTTGATCGTCTTCCGTATGAAGACAGTAAATTGACACGGCGGAGAACGTAACAATACAAACACTGATGAGGGAGGGAATGAATTTTAAAATGGGATATTTCATTGCGACTTTTTCATAGTGAAGGATTCCTTTACGATAGACAAACTGATAAGCAAGTTTGTAGCGAAATGTGTAGTGAGTCCCGTATAAATGTTGCACGAGTCGGCACACTTCAAGGGGTGTAGTTGCTTTCCAAGGGAAATTCATGGACGAAATTTGTTGAGCAGTTTGAAGGAAATGTGTCAAAATCTTCCAATTGATGTCTCCAGAAGGTACGTTTTTCTAATTTGGCCAAATTCTGTTCTTTGAGTGTGGATTGATTAAAAACGTTGTTAGAGTGAGTATTTAGTTATCTCCCAATGGTCAGGTTGGACAGAGACATTTGCATCCAAGGAGGATAAAACGCTAGAATGTAAATGCTGGAAATTTCGACTTTGTTTTCTGAACAAAATTCGTTCTATGAAAGAAAAAAGAATAAGAACTAGATACGCTTTATTACATACGTACGTGGTGAGTAAAGTAACGTTTTATGCCAATAAGTCGAATAACTTGAGTGTATTTTTCAACTTGGCGTGTGACCAATCCTTAACTGAAGGTAAGACTTCCAACAAATAGACATTGACTGCTTACGTGACAAAAATAGCTATGCATGAAATAAATTCGATAGTTGACCTTTATATGAAGCCCGTATTAGATTACCTTTTCAAAAGAAAGTTTTAGAAAGCATTAGTTAATTATTAATGCAAATTAAATAATCCTTGAGCATTTGAATATAAGCCTTGTATGCTCCTAAGAATGAAATTTGGTCACGGATACTTAGTGGCCATCCACAAATTATTTCATAAAAATTCGCCATTTTCTGAACCCCCTTTTCCCATTTAACATGTGTCATAAAGGTACAAAATCATGGTCTTGTACCACCCCCTCTCATGTGACATAATTTATGGAAGCTCCCTTATTTATTATGCATTGTATTCTAGCCTTAAGCCTGACCGATGGAATACATATGTATTTATCATTTATTTATTGTGCCTATAATTCTTAAAATTTTGCTCAATACTTTGCCTGGTGAAGTCTATATTAAGATAAATATCAACTTTAAAAAGGAAAAAAGGGCATGAAAAATTGAAATATTACTTAAGAGAAATTTTCCAATTTTGCTTGCCATAAGATATTTTATGCCGGATGTTGGTTGTCTTGGCGAAAGGGTGTAACAAGAGAATTACTTATAATTCTCTTCTTGAATTAAGGATTTTTTCGTCAAGGGTAGAAAGAGAATATAAAACATGTAAGGTAAAATAATACTTTGAAAATAAGCTTAACATTTCCAAAAAATAGTTCGAGTTGATTAGTAATTCGTAAAGCTCTGAGAGGAGCCCTGGCTGTTTGGCTTGGGGGTGAGAACCGGTGGCTTTCGACACTCGGAAGGTCTATGGTTCGATCCCTCATATCTCGGCAGCTGGGGCAGCCCTCCCTGGGTGCCAGTTACACACATTGTAGCTGGACACTCAGTAGAGTGGACTGAGCATGCTGCCTTTCCGTGGCAGTATTCGCGTCCATACATTAAGATTGAATAGGCAGTGGTGGGTAGAGGATAGGCGGAGTGGGACTGGCCCCGTAAGTGCAGGGGTGAGTGGTGGTGCTTACGGCAAGCCGGCGTCTCTTCCTGTCTTACTATCCTTAAATGGTTTCTCGATCCCCATATCTCATCAATAGATATGGGGATTATAACTGAGCAACTAGATAGCCACTGTCATACGGTGTAAGTAAGAGGATATGCAATAGATCTGATGGATGATCTGAGCATTGGGCTCCTCCAACAAGAGGAGCCCTCCTCCCAAAATACATACAAAGCTCTGAGAGGGTCAAGTTAATCAAATCCAGACGGGTTTTATAGCACGAGAGATATTCTGTAAAAGCGTATCATGTGTTCACGACATGATTCCGCTAGTAAACAAAATATAAATAATGTCTAAATTAGTCGCAATTGAACACAAAAGCCATTGCATACAAGCTTTATAACGTTTTAATAGATAGCACGAATAATAAAAGCAAGGGTTCAAGGCACCAAACAGTATGTGCTACGAAGAATTGCCTGTCTCAGAAATAATAATCGATATTTCTGATATGGAGAACTTTAATTTGTTACCCAACTGTAAATGAACCTTCTTTTAAAAACAATTCACAATATCTACTTTATCGTCATAAAAAACTTACAAAACATTGCATGAGTGATTCGGAAATTGGAGATCTTTCTTTCTTATTTCAAAGATCAAAAGTGCGCAAAGAAATAAACAAATTCATCCAGTTGAATGTACCAGCTTATATCTAAATATTTGCACGCATGCATAACTGAACATATCTATTTATACTCGAGTCAAACTGAAAGCATGAAAATCGAGTAAACGTGCTCACTAATTTCGAAAAGTATTTATTATCACTGTAAAGTTTCAATAGTCATAGCTTTTTATTGCGTGTATAGAATGTTAAAATTTCATGCAGAGTTGTGCGGACTCATCGAAGTAACCTCCTGGTGGACATTCCATATGAGCCAGATACCAATATTCACAAGAACAAGTTGGGTCAGAATCAAAGAGGCATTGATAAAAGTAAGTGCTGCGTAGAATTATTGGATTTATTGTTAGATACATACTTTCTTAAGGACAAGAAATGTAAAAGAATTACATGTCCTCTGGATCCGCAAACTCTGGTAGATAAGGGGGATCCCCTGTCCCGATGCAAGAATCATTGGTGAAAGCAGCCAAACTATTCATTCTTCCCACTTGCTTTGTCAAACTGTCATCTACGAAAATTGTGCCCACCACAAACCTAAATTAACATAGTGATAGAATGAATGTGGTTATTCAGACTTCAAAATGTGGAATAAGACAGGAAAACTTACGAAAAATGCACTCTTGCGAATTAGTTGGAAGCCCATTTTGCTTTCTGTGATTCGTTTCACTTCCAGCAAAGTACTGAAGGCAAAGATCGGAAACTTTCGTAATATATAGATGAAACATTTCATATACATTTATTGGTAGGATAAATGTAATGCAATGGTCAGATTGACGTATGAAAGAGATCCGAGTTATGTAATTCGTGCATTATGACCATTGGTATTCCTGGAAAGATTAACTTGGTATGAGCGTTATGGGACGGTTTTGAACTGGTATTCGTCAGAGGTATTAGTTCATCACGGGTAAGTATAGATATATGCGCATATATTGTGTAATGTGCATATATTGTGTATTGTGCATATATTGTGTATTGTGTATATAATTATATTGCGCGATGACAGATCAACGCCGCATATTTCTCAGAATAATCCCTCAATAATAATGATATCTATGTAGGATTATCCTAGCAAAAATTGATTGGTTCAATTATTTATATAATGCGAAATAGAAAAACACCGACAAGTACGGTGACGGAAGAAACCAAGCTTTTATCTTATTTGTGAGCTAATCGGTTTATTAATTTTGTGAAGTATTTACAATTAGAGTATGAGTTTGGATTATGCACAACTGACTGAAATATTATAAGAACTATGTTTTTCCTACATACACACTTAAAAGTAATGTTACCCTTTTGAAATGCAAATTTAATATTAAGTACGTAAACTACCTAAAATCCAGATAGTTTGAGTAAGACAAACCCGAGCTTCATCCATGTAGAGGTGTCGCCGCGTTTCTACTACATACCATTAATTATGTACTTACTATATTACAATCGCAATTACTTGATTACATAATACATTATTACTGCATTACAAATACGTAGTAAAAATATATCTACATACTTTAATCTTTAGTTACCTCGATAAAGTTATTTATCGATAATATCATATCTACGTACATAAATATTTAATAAATTGTGAACATCCTAGCAACCCTTAATCGGATTTTTCCAATTGCTTCGTAGCAAATTAAGACTCCATGAATAACCGCGTGAATATATACAGCATACCTTCCTCTCTAAAGAGGATCCACTAACGAGTTGGACTGACGAAATAAAATGCTCAGAACTTTTTACACAGTTAATGCAATTTCCAAAAAGTTTCATATGTTGACTACCAAAGGGTTTGGATTGCCATAAAGTTCAAATTTTCATGATTCAATTCCGCTGTCTGCTACAGATTGCAGTTTCTTCTTCCGATTTCGCGTTAAATTCCGCTGTCTGCTACAGATTGCAGTTTCTTCTTCCGATTTCGCGTTAAATTCCGCCCATAGACTGCACCTACTTTCAAGGTGATTTTCTTCCATCTGTTCTTAAATTTTCGTAAGGTGTCTGGCGTTTCTGAAAGCTTAGAATATTTAAACTTAGTCAGCGCTCAGAATTTCTCAATTGGTCGCAGTTGAGGAAAATTTAGTGGGTTTCCATTTTTTGGCACAAATTCAATTTTTTTCAGATGTCGGTACTGAGTGGCCTTTTTGGCGTCATGGGACCTTGCGAGGTCAGGCCAAAACAAAACTTTATTTTTTTATGATCTTTAGTAATAGAAGATTCCAATCGCCCTTTAATGCATGATTTAAGATAAATTAACCCCCTGGTTTACAGTGCCCTCCAAAATAACGGGATCGAAAACATGACCAGTGCTAGACATGCGTTGCCAAATTCTTCATTGTTTTGTGAATGGGTCTTTCTTTTGGACTTTGCCTTCATATTTTACTTCACAGGGGTTGGGACTATGGAAAAAATGCGTTCCTGGAAGATTTGAAAGCTCGGCTGTGACCTGGGGCTCATTGTCCATGATGACCACTTTTCCCCGGATCTTCTTTAACAATTTATTCCAGCACGCATGAATCCTTTCCTGTGGTGTTGGTTTGTAATTTGGTGCTGTTTTTTTCTGCCCTGGCTATAATCCCTAATTTACTTTGATTTTGCACAGATAGCTTTTTGAAATCTCGACCTTACTTGCGGCGCCAGCCGTTGTCGTTGATGGATGATTTTTGAAGATTTTTTTATCCGATTTTTGACTTTTGTCGTCGCTAGCTTTGCAGGTCGACCAGTGGGGACTTCATTGGATTCCTCGTACTTTTTTATGTAAGAGTTGACATTTGAATGAGGAATACCTTCTTGCTTGAAAAAGTGCCAAGTGATTTTATATTCATAGTTTGTTCGATTTTTGTTAAACTCAATCACTTTTTTTTCAACTCTGACCTTTCAACCCAAGTTTTTCTAGTCTTAGGAGGGGAGCTTGCGAGGTTGATAATAACAGATCCTGATGCCCTTTGGATATGTGGTAGGGTCCCATGAGTGTACTAAAACCCTGAAGTGGTTTGACTCCATGGCCACATTTGCGCCCGCCACACCCACTCAAAAATGCCCAAAAAACGCTTTCACACCAGTTTTCACTCACTCAAATCCACGCCAAAAATCCAATTTTACTCAGATTTTGCAATTTCTTTCACCATTACACTCCCAGATAGTTGCTTTCTTCAATCCAATATCAAACTCAATATTTTCGAAATTTTTAGTATTTTTAAAATTTAAAATTCTGAATGAGCATTGTTGTAGTAATCAACAACGCAAATTATCCCTGCGAAATAATCATCAGCAAAATTGAGTTTGATATTGGATTGAAGAAAGCAACTATCTGGGAGTGTAATGGTGAAAGAAATTTCAAAATCCGAGTAAAATTGAATTTTTGGCGAGGTTTTGAGTGAGTGAAAACTGGAGTGAAAGCGTTTTTTGGGTATTTTTGAGTGGGTGTGGCGGGCGCAAATGTGGCCATGGAGTTAAACCACTTCAGGGTTTTAGTACACTCATAGGACCCTACCACATATCCAAAGGGCATCAGGATCTGTTATTATCAACCTCGCAAGCTCCCCTCCTTAGCCATGACTGAATAATTGATGACATATATCAATGGAAAGCTTATAACTTGGTCTATTCAAAAATAATTCTTTCGAAATTTAATTTCGCTGTGTTCCCGCCTAGCGCGCTTTTTACGGGGCAGTAAAAAACCTTAGTGGATGCTCTTTAATTATTTATTCCTGGAAAGATTAACTTGATATGAGCGTTTTGGGATGGTTTTGGATCGGTATTATTTCATCCCGAGTCACTACGTGCACATATATTGTGTAATATACATATGTATATGTATATTGCACGATGACAGATCCACGCCGCACATTTCTCAGAATAATCCCTCTGTGGGATCTGCTCGAGATTTCCACTGGGATCACGACCTACCTAACTACCCGTTAGCTAGCGATCACCGATTTTGACTGTGTCGGGCAAGAACTGTAACAACTCAGATCTGGTTGGGACCAATTTTATTTTGTTCACCACAAAAAATAAGCATATCCGTGTTTTTTCATTTTTCATAATGCACTAATTTGAGCGCGAGGCGCGAATTTTAAACCATTTTTCAGCCAAAACCTCGCTTTTTAAAAATTCCGTAAATTTTCAAATTTTAGCGCGAATCAAAAAATTCGGAAAAACGTCTCTTCAGAATGATTTACCTGACTTATAAAAATTCTACATGTAATATTTTTTTTTAATTAAAAAATTTGAAAGATTTAGCAATTTTAAGAAGTTTAAAAAAATTCTAAAATTCAAATTTTAAGACAATTGGAGTTTTTACAAGTCAGACAAGTAAACTATTCTGAAGAGAAATGTTTTCGAATTTTTGGATTCACTGTAAACTTCGAAAATTTACAGAATTTTTAAGAAACCGAGGTTTAGACTGGAAAACAGTTTAAAATTCGCGCCTAGCATCCAAATTAGGAAAAATGCAAAAATATGGATATGCTATTTTTTTTGTGGTCAACAAAATAAAATTAGTTTCATTGTGATCTGGGTTTTACACCTGAAAGACTTGCATTGTGAGTGTAAGATATTCTAAGAACAATTTTATCCTATGCACACTTTTAAACCTAATCTTACCCTTTTGAAATGTAAATTTACTATTGGGTAAACTACGCAAAATCCTACGTAATTTGATAAAGACCAAACCCAGCAATATACTATACAGGTGTCGCCGCCTTTCCACTGCCGCTAATTAAAGTATGTATGTATTTACTACATTACAATTGCAATTACAAAACATTTACAATATTACTGCATTATGTACAAATATGTACGTTGTAAAATTAGACCTACTTTAATTTGTAGTTACTTCGATAAACTTATTTATAGATTATACCATATCTACGTAAATCGTATTTAATTAATAGTGTTAATATTAGCATCCCAATCACGCTTAATCAAATTTTTGCAGTTTTCCAATTATTTTGTACCAAATTAAGACTCCGTGTATAACCCCGTGCATTTATATGTACAGCATGCCTTCCTTTCTACATTAGAAGCAATGAAATCGTATTATCTACAGCATACATTCCGAATATCAGCTCATTACTTTTCTTCGCATAGAAAAACGTGTAACTCCCCAACCCCACCGGAAGTTCAATGGGCCTCATCGATTTCAAAATTTTTGAATGCAACCGCCTCTCTCTAATCGTCCCAATTCGACTCAGCACGCCCCATTGCACTAAAATCTTTAGGCAGTATTTCGTGTTACTGTGAATCCCAGAAATCATTCCCCACCCAAACTTAATAACCATGGCTACAAGAAGGTAACCAACCCAACCACCCGCAATCAGTATTCCTTGCAGTTCATGGTTCAATCGAATTAATGCATAACTCACCGAAGTCAATGTTACATTGCATCCAATCACCCCAAACAATATTGCATTTCTCTGCATCGGTGCTGCTATATAGTTACCGATCTGAAAGCATTTAAACCAACGAATTAACACGTTCAGATTGTACAAGTTTCGCGTTCGTGTGAGGAAAAGTGGCGCAATTTTTAGCATTGTTTGGATACAGTTAAGAATAAAGATCACGACGCAAAATCCGAAGCCAATCATTTGGGCGATGTGATACCCGACAACTAGATTGATCACGTAGCAGGTTGGAAATTGTAGTGATCTTGGAAAATTTATCACCCAACTTGTAATGATGGGATAAATCAGGTTCCGAAATATGTAAGAAGTACAATCGAGTTCTAGGTACATTACGAGTAG